GTAATCTTAAGAGTTACTTTCTCAGGTAGTAGAAAACAGGCTTTCATTGTCTTTCTCCTCTGGGTGACTCAGCCTTTAAAATATAGTGCAGGCTCAATATTATCTGGGACCTGAATGGGGGCTTTAAAGGAAGAGATAGGAACCTGCTATCTTCTAGCCTCCAGCCATAGTCTGGTTCCTGTTACTAAGGATTGATCCCGACTGAACTAATTAAAGTTTAGTTCCTTTGCTTTCGGGCCAGCAGGACAGACAAAAGCTGTAACCATGAGCCACAGAAACATTAGCCCTGTCCCTAGATATCAGCTGTTCCTGATTAGTGGCTTGTCTTTGCTAAAGAAGGAAAAAATTAGATAATCTTTCAAGGATCTTTCCAAACTTAAGATTCTGGGATCCACAGGTATTGTGAATTGAGATCTGGTGTTTCAACATGGCCCAGACTGAACGGAAGACTAGGAAGAGACGCCTCTTCAGAACAGGGGATGAAATCCACGGGAGAAGCTGGGACAGTAACTGCAGGAGACAGAGCCTAAGCGATGGTTCCAGGAGCTTCACCAAGAGCTCCAGGCCCACTTCTACCAGAAACAAAAGGACTCACCTGTTTAACAAGATTTTCCTAAGACCTCCTCTCCACCTTCCTCCCCCTCCCAACCAGACTCCTGCTCCCTGGGGAGGGAATCCCTCTTTGTTTTGGAACAGACTCTCTGTCCCCAATATAGCCTCTAATAGCCCTGCTGATGTCCTTCCCTGACCCTTTGCTAGCAGAAGAAACACCAGGTCAAACTGGGAGCAACCCTGTCTTCTTCACTTGTTATAAGCTTATTTATGCATTCTTCTGACAAAATATTTATTAAGTGCCTACTATGTGCCAAGTACGGACTGTCTATTTAGTAAATAAATTCTTTAGGTGAAGGGGTGGGGGGTGGGGAGAATATCTCTCCGCTGAGCAAATCTCTTCCATCTTCACAGACAGGAGCGGACAGAATTGACAAGTCCCAAGGAAACAAGATACAGGATGTGCTGCACGGAGGGTAACCGATTAGAAATTCAAAGTTCCCTCCTTGCTTGCCTCAGACGGATAATGCAGAGCGGATGAAGAGGTGCTAACACCACCAAGCTCACTGTGCCCTTTCCCTTCCTTGACTCTGCACAGGCTCCTTGCGGAGTTGGCCCCTTGGAATTGCCTTCGTCCTCCTGGCTCTTCTCCCATAGACCTGGCAAACTTTCCTTCCTGAGGCTTCATTCACGAGCCTGGGTTAAGTACCCTTTATCGTAATTTCTTGCAAAGTTTTCCTGACCACCAAAAGTTCTCTGGGCCCCCACCCCAACTCCTCCCACTCTTCTGCTTTTCTACACTCCATGCTTTTACTCCTTCACAGTAGATCTCAACACCGTGGACTCATGTCTTGCTAGCAGTCTCCCCAACAGGGCTTCCTGCAAGTTCCTTGAGAGCAGAGTCAGGGTCTTTCATCTCTATGCCTAAGGCAAGTATGGAGCTTTGAAAGGCAATTCAGAGAAATGATCAATATTGTCTCATCAATAAGAATCCAAGTCTTTCTGAGTGACTCACCACCCCTCAATTTTACTAAATAGTTCCTTTACTTTCTTAACATAATAAAGTTTCATTGAAATATAGGTGATTATATTAGAAGACTCTCTATGAGCTACAGCAAGCTTTAAATGCATACTTATTCCCAGAAAGCACGATCCTAAAGTTAGCTAGAGTCACTGCCACTCTCTCTGTAGGCTTCTTTGATCATCTTTTACCTATTTTCACTGAGCTGTGACTTGTTCAAGTTCATTGCCACCTTTTTTCTCCACAGTTGGCCCAAGGATGTGTTCATACCTTTGAAGAAGCAGTATTTACTTAACCCTGCAGACCCAGGAACCTGGCCCACTCAGCAAGGTGCTTCCATGTGGCTTAACGACCTTAAACAATTAGTTGGTCAGTGGCCCTGCTTATTAGGTGACTTTCTACTCTAAATTACCCGCACATAGACCTATATATAAATTGGAAGAGGAGAAAAAAATGGAATGTCTAGTGAAAATAATAATAAATTAAAAAAACCCAGAATGTCACCTTCCTCATTAACTTTCCACAGTTCTGAAATTCCCAGCATTGCCACGAACTTGAGATGACCAGACGCTCCCATGTGAACTGTGGACTGAAAACATTTCACCACCAGCAGCTTTATAACCTTCAACAGAAATGAGAGCTACAGCAGACACTGACAGAGGTACAGGGCTTGTGACACTTCATTACTATCCCAGGGGAAACTCTCTGTCAGTAGCTAAGTTTTCATTCCTCTCTTATTCTCCTTTTTAGGTTAGCAGAGACCGTGAACTTGGTGACAGGACTTGTCAGCACTGAAAGAGAACAATTATATTAATCACCCTGACTGCCTTATATTATACTAACGACTTTTTTGGGAATCATCACAATAACACTTTTTATTTTGGAATTTTTTTTCTTTTTTGGAAGAGCCATGTTTACTTTAAACTTAAACTTATTCAGAGAAATTTATTTCAGAGAACCTAGAAATAAAATGCATCTTCAGAAGAAGCCTAACATTCAAAGTTGAAGACTGTGGGTGAAAAATACGAACTTGAATTGACTCAGCTTTTTAATTTTTCCACTGACTGTCACATTGCCACCAACACAGCACTGGTTTCAATATGCCATGAGGCAGAAGTCTGGGGTGGTGGCCATTTGTTGCTCGTATGTTTGGATTACTGGTCTCTCCGAATATATAAAAATGTGTGAGGTCCACTTTGGGTTTTCATAAGCAATAGTCTTAAGATCTAAAGAAAGAAAGAACAGTTCCTATGATTATGTCAAAGCTGACTCTGGCTTAATGCTTCTCTACACATTGATCAAGGACTATTTTCTAGGACTGACTCTCTAGGCACATGGAGTAAATTTTGTTTTCTTGTAAATCATCATTAGAATCCTAGAGTAGGTTGCTTCTGCCACCGCCATGATTTCAGCACAGGGCTGGGTTCTGGACAAGTTTTCATTAACTGACTCTTTTCTGCTCTTAAACTTTTAGGGAGAAATTCATTAGGATAAATTTCCCTTTAATTGCATCTCTTGCTAGCTGCTGATTTAAATTGTATCTTAAACATATTTAAGCTACGGCAGCGTGGGAAAGAAGGTGAGAAGATAGTCAGTCCAACTCTCATTGATTAAATGAGAACATAGAATCCTGGGAAAGTGAAAGAACCTGCTCATGGGTCCAAATTTAGATAATGACAAAACTGAATCTGCTTCTTACTCCTTTGACAGTCCTCTTTCCACTGCAATCAATCACAACATGTTAATCTGATTTTTGTAAACTGAATTTTATGCCCAATGCAACTCTTTCATAGAGCTTTCCATTATAAACAGATTCGTTTTGTAAGTATATACGTTATCCTAATTTATGCTATATGACTCTTCAAACATCTTTATCTAAGTAAGCACTACAGTCCACCTCCGTTCCTCCTGTAGTGTAGAGAGAAGTGGAGAGAGGGCCACTGGCGAGGTGGGAAATGAGAGACGGAGAGGAGAGCAGGGTTGGTAGGTCTGGATGCATTCGTTCAAGGACCATGCTTGAACAAATAGGATAGATAGATAGTCTAGATTTTTCTCTAGAAAAATCAGGATAGATAGTCTCAGATTTTTCCATGAATGTGCGCTAACAGTTCCACAGTTCCACAATCCCATTTCTCCAAAACACTCCTCTCAGGTAGCATTGTAATTGGAACTAAGATTCTATTTGCAGTGGAAATAGAACATGAAAAAAATTAATAAGAAACCGAAATTGCAAGATTCTACCACCAGCCAGTAAATTAAAACTTCAGGCAATCGAGACAAAAAACTCCTTGGCCACCCTAAAGAATTTCACATGAACACTAATTGTATCGTGGTGCGTAAGATTTCACTGTGCAGTGAAAGGTAACAAAAAGCAATTCAGTGTTATGGCTGATTGTGAATCAGGTATAGAATAGTAAGAGGAGTCAGACCTGAGCTTCTGAGAGGCAGGAGAGATCACAAACAGCCCACTGAACACAACCTTCTTAGACAAACACTGCCAATGGCTTTAGGGATGGAGTTGGGTTGCACAAGGGTCACTTTATTTCCTTTAAATGGTGAAAACTCAAAGCAAGTGTAATCAACTCCATTCTTAGGAAATAAGATCCCCACTTCCCTGCATCAGTTAGGGTTGTTGGGTTGTTAGCCTGGATACTTTGGATTCCCTCCAGAATACTGTCCGGCTTAACGGATAACCAGAGAATCTCAAATGTGTTTTCCCATGTATTTAGGAGAGTACTAGCCAGTAAATAACCTCTGTGTCCCAGGGGCTTTCTTCTCTCCAGGAATCCAGCTACTACCATCTAATGGGATCAAGACACAAAGAACAAAGAGAAACCCCCTCTCCTCACTGCAAACCGGCCTCCCTCTCTCAGTCCACATGCATCAAGTAATAAAGGCCTACATTACACAGTTCTAGGCTGTGCCAGACTGTGTGCTAGGAGTTTAAGATCCAGTAATTCATTCAGTCCTAATAACCAGCCCCTGAGGTAGATCCTCCTGGCATCTCTGTTTCACAGAGAAGGAAACTGAAAGACAGAGAGAGTAAATAAATCGCCCAACCCCACAAAATAGTAAGTAGTAGAGTCAGGATTCAAAGGCGGGCAGTATGATGTTGGAATCCATTCTCTTAATCATGCACTCGTTGACCCTGACCAGGCACCCATGGCTTTGGTATCTCCCCGGAGGAAATGAGATCTGGATATGAAATGGTGCATGAGACAGCCCCTGTTGGATCTGCCTCCCACAGCTCAGGTCCTACAAGTGTCAGTGCTGTTGGCAGAGAGGAGACAAGCCCCACTCTACAATCACACACCTGTTTCAGAATAAACATCACCAGCTTTCTATCACCCCTGGATATCCACCCCCTACCCCTCAGCAAAGATTCTGGTTATCTCTATCTCTTAAGCCAAAATAACTTGGTTCTCACCTTTCCAGGCATGAGTGGGGCAAAGCCGCAAGTCCTTTGCACATTTTGGCAAGTGGCTTAGCTCCTCAGTTTTGAGCACAAATTCTGAACAGCAGAGTGAGACTCTGAAAACTTCCCAAGTGTCTGGGATGGCCTCTCCCTCTGAGGAATATATAGAGGCTCTTTGCCAGCCCTCTCTGCTCCCTGGACCAATCCAGACCTTAGAGGAAATCACAGGCTGGGACGCAGTAGCAGCTGTGGGAGCTGCAGGCCGGACTCCTGTCTCTGCAGCCTTAGGCTTCTGTCTGCTCCGGGAGGATGCTCATTCTGCCGGGGCAGGGCTGGTCCCTCCTGCATGGGTCATTCATGTTTTAACGTGTAAACATGAGCCATCCACAGAGCAGCATGCCTTGGGCTGCCCCAGAACTGTCAAAATCATAGCCTGCTTGGACGGCAAGAGCCCTAGAGATCAGTTAGCCCAACTGGGTGTCACAGTGCTGGAGGTGAGATTCAGAAAAGGCTGGGGGATGTGCGCTGAGTCCCACCGCCAGGCTCTCAGCGGGATGCTGGGAATTCAAGGAAAGGTACTGCCTGCCCCCAAGATGCCCAAACATCCTATTAATGCCGTGCAAGTGAGTGATGGAGGCAGGCTCAAGACGTGTGAGTGCTTTCAAGGGCCACCAGAGAAGATTTGGGGGAGGAAATAAGCCCTGAGATGAGAGATGTAGGAGACAAAATACCCTGCGGCATTCTATCCACGAGATGCCCCCAAGTTCCCCTAATTCCATAATTGGTTTTGGGATTATTCTCTACTTTGATAATGATGTCAGATAATTCCTTGGACCCTGCCCCCATCACCCATTCTTGGCCAGGCTTATCTTGCCTGCCTCTTCTACCTTCCCCTGTCTTATATCACTCCAGGATTATTTCTACCAAAAATGACCTCATTTGCAGTTCATCCTATCAGGACCCAAGGGGTTAATAAATTAATATGTAAATGTGGATGCCTAAGGGGTAGGCATGAGTCCAAGCTAAAAATAAACAGCAACCACATCATCTGTAAGGAAAGCTCTAAATTTAGAACTAAAGATGATTCTCATAATGTTTCCCATTGTCTGAAATTATTTGTTTTAAATTGTTGATTGGGGCCCGTCCCTGGCTTGTAAAGTCAATACAGTGTATTATGATCTGATGTTTTAAATTAAATAAATTATAATACACATACATGCAGGTGCATCACATGAAGAAAGTTAAATATTATTTTCTGAAACTTTTGCTTTCATGACCAATATGGGTGTGTGAACAAGGTCATTAGATTAACTGTATTTCTTACTATGATTTATAATCAAAGCGGTTTGAAGACCACAGCTCTCTACCATATATTTTATTTACAAGGAACTCTGTCATAGTTACCTTTGCAACCCCAGCACCGAGCACAAAGTCAGCACGTCGACACTTACAAACAGTGCTTGAGCTAAGTGCAATTGTCCAAGTTCTGCCATTTGCCAGCTGCATAAACACCAGCGAATCAGCTCATCTGAGTGACGGACACTCAGTGTTCATAGAATATGAACACTGGTGTTGACCACTGGGTCTCAAGTTAGGAAAGTAAAACTAGCCGAGGAGACTCCTTGGGCAAGAACCTAAATTACAGTTTGATATTTAAGGATCCTTGAGGAGAGAATAAAGTGAAAAAAAATTAATCTAAGGCAATGGAGGGTGATGTCGTGGCCAGGTTTGAGGGTTGAAGCATCAAAGCAGGTTTCTGACCAATCTAGAAGTTTGTGTGATGCATGAATGGATTATTAAAGAACCGAAACTATCACAGCCTTACTAAAAGGTGTCTAGAAGCCAACATGCGAAAGATGCGAAATGCAATAGAAATAAATATGAATCCGGCATCTGTTTTGTTTTTAAAACCTTCATAAGGATGGAATAGCCTAAGAGCATATAAAAGAGTCTGCTCATTGTCTGAGGCAGGGTTCTGCAGAGAAACATGGCCCATATCTGCACATATGTAAGGAGAAATTCATTATAAAGTATCGGCTCGTGCAGTCGTGGAAGCTGAGCAGTCCTGAGATCTGTGGTCGGCAAGTTGCGGGCCCAGGAGAGCCAATGGCGCACAGTCCCACCCAGAAGCCAAACTGTGGTGCTGGTTCCAGTCTGAGTCCAAGGCTGAGGGCGAAAGCCGACCCAGGGCCCAGGAAAGACGGTCAGGCAGGAAGAGAGAGTGAGTCGTCCCTTCCTCAGCCTTTTTGTCCTTGTCCGGCCTTTACTGGATTGGATGAGCCACACACACCCTGAGGAGGAAGGGGTTGACACCTCTATGGGTTCAAAGGTTAATCTCATCCAAAACCACCCTCACAGACACACCCAGAATCCTGGTTCACCAAATACCTGGGCACGGAATTAACTATCACACTCAAGTAAAATAAACTTGACGTTCTTTCTAAAATAAATGGAACTATATTTTTTTTCTCCTTGCCCTCCCAAACATCCCTCAAAATGATGGTAAATGTATGAAAAGTGTAGAAAGCTATAATAGCACAGAGAAAGGAAACACAGGCCGTCACGTTTGGAGTGGTTTCCATCTCTTTATAGAAGGTGGGAAGGCGTGGTTGGGAGTGGTCACTCAAGAAGCAGCGGATAGACCTCAGAGAAGAACCCAGACAGGTGCCCACTTGTTTGCAGGAAGCTCGGGGCACAGACTCCAAGATGCTCGATAGCACAGAGGCAGCAATTAGCTACGGAGCTGGCAGTAGTGGGGATTATTGAGGTTTTTGTCCAATGGAACGGTCTCCTGCCTACCCCACAGGACTGCTGTGATTTATTTCTAATACATTTTCTTAATTAAATCATGCATTGGTCTACTTCACCATGGTTAACAACACATTTATTGAGATGCCTTTTATAGCCAATGATGGCGCATTGTGGGGAGAACCTCCCATCCAGGGACATCTGGGACCATCTGTGGTCGATGGTGAACAGGCATCCACCCACTGTTGAATCTCTCCTAACGCTTCCGAGTCCACCTTAAGGCCCACCAAGAGCACAGGCAATAAGTAAGGTGGAGTCTTCACCTTACACGGAACTAGATTTCTTTCTTTCTGATAATTTTTTTAAATTATGTACTAGTTCCATTTATACTTCTGTCACGCAGAAGTATATACTGTCAACAAGTTGTTATATCTGCTTCTACATTTTTTTTTAAATAAAGAGGCAATACATAGAACTAAAATCCCTTTAAATGCCCATTCCTATTTCCATCTTTCTCCCATCTTCAGCACACACAATCCCTATTCAGATTTTGGTATGTGGTTTTCATCCAGACTTTTAAAAAATCCTTCACCTACGCTGGGTTTGTAAATACAATATGATAATCATGTATATATGTTTTACTTATGTATATAGCAATATAATCCCCATCCTACTTCTTTATTCGGAATCATGAATTTTTTTTCTTTTATTTATTTTTATTTTTTTTATTATGTTATGTTAGTCACCATACAATACATCATTAGTTTTTGATGTAGTGTTCCAAGATTCATTGCACAAGAAAGAAAACAGTCAACAAAACAGAGGCAGCCCACTGAATGGGAGAAGATATTTGCAAATGACACTACAGACAAAGGGCTGATATCTAAGATCTATAAAGAATTTCTCAAACTCAACACCCGAAAATCAGATAATCAGACCAAAAAATGGGCTGAAGAAATGAAGACATTTCTCCAATGAAGACACACAAATGGCTAGCAGACACATGAAAAAATGTTCATCATCATCAGCCATCAGGGAAATTCAAATCAAAACCACATTGAGACACCACCTTACACCAGTTAGAATGGCCAAAATTAACAAGGCAAGAATCAACACATGTTGGAGAGGATGTGGAGAAAGGGAGGAATGCAAGTTGGTGCAGCCACTTTGGAAAACAGTGTGGAGATTCCTCAAAAAATTGAAAATAGAATTTTTTGCTTTTGGATTACCTTGACGCTTATAGAACATCTATGTTCCAGGGATTTTAAAAACACTTTCCATTCATTTCCATATTTATTTGTCAAAATAAAACCATGAGATAAGTGCTTTAATATCATTTTTTTTAAAAAGATTTCATTCATTCATTCATTCATTCATTCATTCATTCATAGATCCTGAGAGGCAGTTGGGGCAGAGGGAGAGAAAGAATCTCCATCAGACTCTGCCAGGAGCCCAAAGTGGGGCTCAATCTCATGACTCTGAGATCATGACCTGAGTTGAAACAAGAGTTGGACACTTAGCCAACTGAGCCACCCAGGCACCCCTCATGTCATTTTTTAAACGAGGGAACACTCTGATCTTTTAAATGAAGATGAAGTTGAGACACCTGAGTGGCTCAGTCGGTTAAGTGTCCGCGTTTGGTTCAGGTCGTGATCCCAGGGTCCTGGGATGAAGTTCCACGTCCCTGGGATTGAGTCCCACATCGCACTCCCTGCTCAGTGAGGCATCTGGTTCTCCCTTTCCCCCTGCCTGTGCTCTCTTTCTCTATGACAATAAATAAATAAAATCTTTAAAAAAAATGTGTTCATCTCGGGGGCACCTGGGTGGCTCAGTTGGTTACGTGCCTGCTTCTTGGTTTTGGGCTCAGGTCATGATCTGAGGATTATGAGATCAAACCGCAGGTCAGGCTCTGCACTCAGTGGGCCTTCTGCTTGAGACTCTCCATCCCTCTCCCACTGGCCCTCCCCCAGCTCACATGCTCTCCTTCTCTCCTCTCTATAAAATAAATAAATAAATCTTAAAAATAAAATAAAATGAAATAAAACGTTCCTCTTGATCAGTCTTTTCAGAAGTTTATTCTATCTGTTAGCCTTTCCAAACAACTAATTTTTGTTAGTGGTGAGCTTATCTTTTGTTCTGTTTCTTAAGTTATTGCTTTGTGTTTGTATCTTTACTATTTCCTATCTTCTATTATTTTAATGTTTATGCTTTTTTTCTAAATTTAAATTCAATTTCGTTAACATATAGTATATTATTAATTTCAATGGTAGAATTCAGTGTTTTGTCAGTTGCATATAATACCCAGTGCTCATTATATCACATGCCCTCCTTTATCTCCATCACCCAGTTACCCCATCCCCTCACTCGCTCCCCTCCAGCCACCCT